CACTGCCTAAATTCATCCTCCTACCACCATTCACACACAAACACACAAACAATCACATACAAACACACACACACTCTCACCACCCAGCAGCACGTCCAGATACAGTTGGTAATACCCCCCCCCCCCACCTACACACACCTGGGTGTCCGTTAGGAGCATATTGCGGACATTTAAGAAATGTACCGGACCCTTATGGATTGAAACCTGACCCATTAGGGCGTCCACCAGGGCCTAAAATGAACACCCGCCACCTGCCAAATGCGGGTCGATTTTGGCATTGGCGGGTAAGATGTCTATTGCACCAGCGGGTCGTCAGGGATCCACAGTACAGTGGAGAACAAGTATTTGATACACTGCCGATTTTGCAGGTTTTCCTACTTACAAAGCATGTAGAGGTCTGTCATTTTTATCATAGGTACACTTCAACTGTGAGAGACGGAATCTAAAACAAAAATCCAGTGTGTGCTATACCTGGAGGGTAGGGGGTCTATACCTGGAGGGTAGGGGGTCTATACCTGGAGGGTAGGGGGTCTATACCTGGAGGGTAGGGGGTCTATACCTGGAGGGTAGGGGGTCTATACTGGTCTATACCTGGAGGGTAGGATCTATACTGGTCTATACCTGGAGGGTAGGGGGTCTATACCTGGAGGGTAGGGGGGTCTATACCTGGAGGGTAGGGGGTCTATACCTGGAGGGTAGGGGGTCTATACCTGGAGGGTAGGGGTCTATACCTGGAGGGTAGGGGGTCATACCTGGAGGGTAGGGGGTCTATACTGGTCTATACCTGGAGGGGTAGGATCTATACTGGTCTATACCTGGAGGGTAGGGGGTCTATACCTGGAGGGTAGGGGGTCTATACCTGGAGGGTAGGGGGTCTATACCTGGAGGGTAGGGGGTCTATACTGGTCTATACCTGGAGGGTAGGATCTATACTGGTCTATACCTGGAGGTAGGGGGTCTATACCTGGAGGGTAGGGATCTATACTGGTCTCCAGTGTGTGTTTTGTCAAATGCTATTTGTCCCCCCTTCTTCCTTACTGGTTTTCTGTTCCTAGCTCGGCTCCGATGTCCTTCCTTTTCTGTTCCTAGCTCGGCTCCGATGTCCTTCCTTTTCTGTTCCTAGCTTGGCTCCGATGTCCTTCCTTTTCTGTTCCTAGCTTGGCTCCGATGTCCTTCCTTTTCTGTTCCTAGCTTGGCTCCGATGTCCTTCCTTTTCTGTTCCTAGCTTGGCTCCGATGTCCTTCCTTTTCTGTTCCTAGCTTGGCTCCGATGTCCTTCCTTTTCTGTTCCTAGCTTGGCTCCGATGTCCTTCCTTTTCTGTTCCTAGCTTGGCTCCGATGTCCTTCCTTTTCTGTTCCTAGCTTGGCTCCGATGTCCTTCCTTTTCTGTTCCTAGCTCGGCTCCGATGTCCTTCCTTTTCTGTTCCTAGCTTGGCTCCGATGTCCTTCCTTTTCTGTTCCTAGCTTGGCTCCGATGTCCTTCCTTTTCTGTTCCTAGCTTGGCTCCGATGTCCTTCCTTTTCTGTTTCCTAGCTCGGCTCCGATGTCCTTCTTTTCTGTTCCTGGCCTGGCTCCGATGTCCTTCCTTTTCTGTTCCTAGCTTGGCTCCGATGTCCTTCCCTTTTCTGTTCCTAGCTTGGCTCCGATGTCCTTCCTTTTCTGTTCCTAGCTCGGCTCCGATGTCCTTCCTTTTCTGTTCCTAGCTTGGCTCCGATGTCCTTCCTTTTCTGTTCCTAGCTTGGCTCCGATGTCCCTTCCTTTTCTGTTCCTAGCTCGGCTCCGATGTCCTTCCTTTTCTGTTCCTGGCCTGGCTCCGATGTCCTTCCTTTTCTGTTCCTAGCTTGGCTCCGATGTCCTTCCTTTTCTGTTCCTAGCTCGGCTCCGATGTCCTTCCTTTTCTGTTCCTAGCTCGGCTCCGATGTCCTTCCTTTTCTGTTCCTAGCTTGGCTCCGATGTCCTTCCTTTTCTGTTCCTAGCTTGGCTCCGATGTCCTTCCTTTTCTGTTCCTAGCTTGGCTCCGATGTCCTTCCTTTTCTGTTTCCTAGCTCGGCTCCGATGTCCTTCCTTTTCTGTTCCTAGCTCGGCTCCGATGTCCTTCCTTTTCTGTTCCTAGCTTGGCTCCGATGTCCTTCCTTTTCTGTTTCCTAGCTTGGCTCCGATGTCCTTCCTTTTCTGTTCCTAGCTTGGCTCCGATGTCCTTCCTTTTCTGTTCCTAGCTTGGCTCCGATGTCCTTCCTTTTTCTGTTCCTAGCTTGGCTCCGATGTCCTTCCTTTTCTGTTCCTAGCTTGGCTCCGATGTCCTTCCTTTTCTGTTCCTAGCTTGGCTCCGATGTCCTTCCTTTTCTGTTCCTAGCTTGGCTCCGATGTCCTTCCTTTTCTGTTCCTAGCTTGGCTCCGATGTCCTTCCTTTTCTGTTCCTAGCTTGGCTCCGATGTCCTTCCCACTCATTTTCATTACCCTGTTCAATGGGTTCTGACTTGTGTTCCCTAAAGCACCAAACCACCCCACAATATTAAAGTGTGTTTGACACAGATGGACAACAAACTCCTTTCAGAACGGAGGAGCCAGAGACGTTTGGATCAGGGATGGGCAACTCCTTGGGGGCCTGATTGGTGTCACATATTTGCCCAGCCTTGTAGCTAACACACCTGATTAAACTAATTGCATTCTAAACTGAAGACCATGATTAGTTGATTATTGGAGGCAGGTGTGTTAGCTGTGGCTGGGGAAAACATCTGTCACCAATCAGGCCCCCGAGGACTGGAGTTGCCCATCGCTGATCCCAACGATGATGATGTTGACAGTGACGCTGGTCTATTAGAGGTCGTGTGTGTGTGTGTGTGTGTGTGTGTGTGCGCGTGTGTGCGTGCGTGTTGTGCGTACGTGCGTGCGTGTTGTGTGTGTGTGTGTGCGCGCGTGTTGTGCGTACGTGCGTGCGTGTGTGTGTTTGTGTGGTGTGTGTGTGTGTGTGTGGTGTGTGTGTGTGTTGTGTGTGTGTGTGTGTGTGTGTGGTGTGTGTGTGTGTGGTGTGTGTGTGTGTGTGTGTTGTGTGTGTGTGTGTGGTGTGTGTGTGTTGTGTGGTGTGTGTGTGTGTGTGGTGTGTGGTGTGTGTGTGTGTGTGTGTGTGTGTGTGTGTGGTGCAGCAGAGTTTCTATTTTGAGCTCTAACAACCTTTCATCTCCTTCAGCAGCACAGAGACAACTTAATAGGATCACCCAGGCCTGCTGCACCTGCATACCATAAACCCTGACTCACCTCCTGTAAATCCTTACCCATTAGTTAGGCAAGACAGCCGGACCGACAGACAGCCGGACAGACAGAAAGACGGACAGGCAGGCAGGCAGACAGACAGGAGGACAGGCAGACAGACGGACAGCCAGGGTCTCTGGTTATGTCTGGTAAAGAGTATAGTCCGAGTATAGTCCGAGTATAGTCTGAGTATAGTTTGAGTATAGTCTGAGAATATTATGAGTATAGTCTGAGTATATTATGAGTATAGTCGGAGTATATTATGAGTATATTGTGAGTATAGTCTGAGTATAGTCTGAGTATAGCCTGAGTATAGTTGGAGTATATTATGACCACCAGAAATGACTAGTCATGCAGGATATCCTCTCCACACGGACAGTAGAAATGTTCCTCAGTAAAGTGACTACGCCCCAATCACCATGACTCAGGCTAACCTGCTCCATCCTCTTCACAGGGGGGAAGGAGGGTAAGTGATGATCGTAGGAGGAGAGAGATGAGGAGAGTAGAGGAATTAGGCGCTGAGAGTTCTAGTGTCGTGAGCGAGATGCAGAGGCTGAGTGCTACTTTTTTGCGTGCGCGTATTTCTCTGCTTCTCTTCTTGCATTCTCTTTTCTTCGTCTCTTCTTCTCGTATTGCTTCTACTTTTCTTTCTTCGCGCCTCGGTCTCCTTCTTCGCTGCGTCTTAGCTTTTCGTTCTTCCTTCTCTTCGGCTGCCTTCCTTTCATTCCGCGTTCTTTCTTCTCCTCGTCGCTGGGCGCTGCTTCTTCGCGGTCTTTCTTCTCTTCTTCGTTGCGTCTTCGCTTTTCTTTCTTCTCTCTTCGTCTTCTGCTCGTGCGCTGCTTTTCCTTTCTGTTCTTCTCTTCCTGCTCACTGTAGGAGAGAATGCCTACGTGCTCTTGAGCAGAACCCCACCCCCCCCCACACCACACTCCCTCCCCGCTCTCCCCCACACATCCTCAGACATAGAGGACTGTCCTCTGCGTATTTAGCACACTGTCTCCTTGTTTTCTGCAGTTTTCAGCAAATATCGACAATAATCATTCAAATGCGAAAGAGTGTGCAATAAAAAGATTTTGGCATTGCCAGTGTTCAGTGTCATTAAAACCGTTATTAACCGTTATTAAGCGTCTCTGTCCTAGCTAACCGCTCTCTTCTCTCTCCGTGTTTGTATTCCGACAACTGTCTGCAACAGGCTGCCACAACTTCATCTTTAGCTAGCTAGAACATCTGCCTCTGCCACCTAGCTCGTCCTGCAACTAACATTTATAATAACATTTATAAAAAATAGTGGATTTAAACATAAAATACCAACTAACGTTATCTCTCTCTCTCTGTCTCTGCTCCTTCATCTCCCACTGCAAAGAGATACGCAATAACAACCTAACTGCTACAGAAAGCCACAGTATAATTAATCGTTTCTCTCGATACAAAATAAATATACATATCTATGTCCGCAAATACCGACACGACATTTGGCTAGCTAGCTAGGTAACTGTCTCCAGCTAGCTGTCACGTCCGTAAGGTTCAGCTGACTGGGCAAAAAAAAACACCTTTCTCATCTAAATGACAGCGAGAGTACAGCAAAATGTGATGTTACTGAAATTAGAAATATCACAAAGAGGAGTGGGTGTCTTAAACCTGACATAGGTAGTTTAGCTACTAGTAAATAAGTGTCTTCGAGAAGGGACATAGTACCGTTGAGTGCTGCGGGAGAGGTCTTTCTGTTCGAGTCCGCAGCGCAACGTGACCCCGTTACAAAACCCTCCGCCCCTGGGCGGGGCCCGGCGTCATCACCCACAGACACTGAATATTCATGAGGACGCCGGATGGGGATGGAGAGGCCCTGACGTCGGGTGGGGGGGCCGTGTACCATATGTGTAAGCCGGGAGTCGGGGAAAGTGTCTCTGTGGTATATGATGCCTGTGATGATGATAATGTTATGGAAGTCTTTCATTTAATCAGCGGGGCTCTTGATGGGCAAGTGTGTGAGACTGTCTTAAAACGAAAGACAGACGAGACAAGAAGGGCCAGATAGGTTCCAGACATACAACATACACACACCACCCCCCTAGAAAAGAGTAGTGCTCTCCTCTCTCTCTACCCTCTCCTTCCCTCCAGCAACACCACATCCCCGTTCCATTTCCTTGCTCTCTACCCTCTCCTACATTCCACTGCGGCCAGTCCCACACCCTCCAGCGACCCCCATATCCTGTCCTCTCTCTCTAAACCTCTGGCATCCTCGGTTTCACTCCCCTGCACATATACCATCGCCCTCCCACATGTCCTCCTCTCTCTAAAAGCGGCCGTCAGGGTGTGGTCCTTCCTCTCAACGGGATACTGTTGGGTAGGACACCGATCTCACAAACATACCCCATCGCCCATCCTTCCTCTCTCTACCCTCTCCTGCCCAGGCTAATCCCAACTACCCCAAACAACCAATTTCCCCCCCCATATCCTGTCCTCTCTCTGCAATCTAATAACGCAACTCTGCTCCTCTCCCTCCAGGAATATGCAAACGACCCCGATCCACACAATTTGCGGTGTCCTCCGTCTAATACCTGGTGATTTCCGGTCTCTGCACTTCCCTACGTTCGAGGTCTACTTCCCTCCCTCCCCCATCATCCCTCCCCCATTCCTTCCGTCTCGTCTCTATCCTCACCTCCTCTCGCTCATACACTCCTCTGCCCCGGTCGTCCTGTGCCCTCCGGCAGCAACACAACCTATCGCCCATGTCCTGTCCTCATCTCTACCCTCGAGTCCTTCCCTCCCATTCAACACCATCCCAATTCCTTCCTCTCTCTTTCCTCACCCACTCCTCTCTCTCTACCCTCTCCTTCCCTCCCAGCAACACCATCCCCAGTCCTTCCTCTCTCTACCCTCTCCTTCCCTCCCAGCAACACCATCCCCAGTCCTTCCTCTCTCTACCCCTCTCCTTCCCTCCCAGCAAACACCATCCCCAGTCATTCCTCTCTCTAAACTCTACCCTCTACCCTCGCATTCCCTCCCAGCAACAAACACCATCCCCCGTCCCCTGTCCTTCCTCTCTCTACCCTCTCCTTCCCTCCCAGCAACACCATCCCCAGTCCTTCCTCTCTCTACTACCCTCTCCTTCCCTCCCGCAACACCATCCCCAGTCTCCTCTCTCTTTCTCCACCCTCCTCTCTCTCTACCCTCTCCTTCCTCCCACACACCATCCCGCAGTCTTCCCGCTCTAACCCTCTTCCTTCCCATCCCAGCACCTCCCCATCCTTCCTCTCGAGTCCTCACCCTCCCTCTCTCTCTACAAACCCTCTCTTCCCTCCCAGCAACAACCATCCCCAGTCCTTCCTCTCTCCTACCCTCTCCTCCCCGCCAGCAACACCATCCCCATCCTTTCCTCTCTCTACCTCGCCGTCACTCCCCAACACCCCATCCCCAATCCCGTCCCTCTCTACCTCTCTCTATACCTCTCCTTCCATCCAGCAACACCACCCCGTCCTTCCTCTCTCTAACCCTCTCCTTTCTCTCTAATTTTCTCTCTCTCTCTTCTCTCCTCTCCTCTCTCTCTCTTCTCTCATCTCGCTCACTAGCAAGGCTAATGCTCACTGAGTCTGGACATAGTCAAGCTTTCCATAGTTTTGGGTCAATCACAGTGGTCAGATATTCTGCCACTGTGTACTCTCCTCTGTTTAAGTAGGAGGAGGGCCAAATAGCATTCTTTCTAGTTTGCTCTGGTTATTTTGTTCAGTCTTTTTTCCAATGTGTCAAGTAATTCTCTTTTTGTTTTCTCATGATTTGGTTGGGTCTAATTGTGGTTGTTGTCCTGAGGGCTCTGTGGGGTCTGTTTGTGTTTGTGAACAGAGCCCCAGGACCAGCTCTCTCTCTCTGAGAAGCATTCTGTTTAATGAAGTGGAAACGTTTAAATCAAGAGAACTGCATCTATAAACCAAGCACACTCTCCCCTTCCCTCCAGACCACACACACACACACCTTTCTCTCAGAGCAGACCTTTTACCTTTTTTATTTTGTAGTGCTAGATATTACTGCACTCACTGTTGGATCTAGAAACACAAGCATTTCGCTGCACCTGCGATAACATCTGCAAATTTGTGTATGCGACCAAAAAACTTTGATTTCATTTGACACAGGAAAACACCCTAAGTTACGAACAGTTTAATAGTTCAGCCGGTGGTTAGAAAAATACAGAGCAAAGCATTGGTGCAACAACAACCTCATCACAGATCAGGGGTTAGAATATTTAGAGAGAGAGAGAGAGAGAGAGAGAGAGAGAGAGAGAGAGAGAGAGAGAGAGAGAGAGAGAGGAGAGAGAGGAGAGAGAGAGAGAGAGAGAAGAGAGAGCGAGGAGAGAGAGGAGGAGAGAGAGAGAGAGAGAGAGAGAGAGAGAGAGAGAGAGAGAGAGAGATAATTTCCTAACAAGGCATCCAGAATACTGAGAAAATAAGAAAAAAAACACATCTGACAGCAACATAACAATCACATCTGGGTCCAATACATACTTCAAATACTTCCACATACATGAGCTGATTTAGTTCGCCCCGGTGCAATGGAATCATTAGAACAGTCCCAAAGGTGCAAATCCAAAGCGAAATCCAGTGCTGCTCAAATACTTCTGAGTATTTAAAAGTATTTTGTATTTGACTCAGGTCTAATAAGAATAAGGTAGGGATCAGGTGTGAGGCATTGTGGGTAAGAAATAAGGGCAGTCCTTTATAAAACCCTCCAGTATATACAGTGATAGCATAGTGGTATACATGCTATAGACAGGCGTTATAGAGTGGGTCAGAAGTTTACATACACTAAGCTTACTGTGCCTTTAAACAGCTTGGAAAATTCCAGAAAATGATGTCATAGCTTTAGAAGCTTCTGATAGACTAATTGACATCATTTGAGTCAATTGTATGGTATTCTTAATGTTACTCAATCCGGATTCAGACCTAAACATAGCACCACTACCATGCTTGTTGTAAATGATATTACAAGTGCCTTAGATGATAGAAAGAATTGTGCTGCCATGTTTGTAGACTTGTCAAAAGCTTTTGGTACTGTAGACCATGTTGTTCTGTTGAATAAGCTGTCCTCGATAGGGTTGGGTACTGATACTGTAGACCATGTTATTCTGTTGAATAAGCTGTCCTCGATAGGGTTGGGTACTGATGCTGTAGACCATGTTATTCTGTTGAATAAGCTGTCCTCGATAGGGTTGGGTACTGATGCTTGTCGATGGTTTCATAATGATCTCAGTGACAGAACTCAGGCCATTAAGGTAGATGGGGTCAAATCCGAGTTCCTTGAGTTACATAAAGGGGTGCCCCAAGGAACGATACTCGGCCCACTACTGTTTACAATCTATATACATTTTACAATCTATATAAATAACATTGGTAATGCTGTAAAAAAAAACAAAGCATGCATTTTGTTTTGTTTGCATTTAGCACTAACTTTAGATACAATAGTGACCTCTGCAGTGGTTGAAAATCAGACTTCAAATGTGAAAATGTTTGGCCAACCGATGGAGCAATGGAATACAACGCTATCATCCGCAAGGTCCCATAACCCATTTTTAAATGAATTTGTAATGACTAGTTTGAATGGTAAACAAATTGAGCGAGTTCCTTCCTACAAATATCTTGGTATCTGGCTTGATGACAAACTGTCATTTAAAAAACATGTCACTGAGCTGGTTTCTTTTACAGAAACAAAGCAGAAACTTGCTGAATGATCAGAGAAATGATAGTCAAAGCTTTTCTTTAAGGCTATTTACAGAAAAAGTAAGTCCTGGGTGCTTTGATAGCAACAGACAATAAGAAATCCCCAGGAGCCGACCAATTGGACCCCGATTTGCTTAAGTGTGCAGCGCCCATCATTGTTGGCTCAATAACCCATATTTTGTATTTAAACATCGTTATCAGGAAATATTCCAAAAGTATGGAAATCAGCTCTTGTGTTGCCACTCCATAAGGGCGGGGATAGTAGTGATCTTAATGATTATCTCCCCATTTCAAAGCTTCTTGTCTAGCTAAGATTCTTGAATCCTTGGTAAATGTACAACTGCTCTTTTTTTATCTGAGAAATGTATTTTGAACGTAAACCAATCAGGGTTTAGGCCTGGGCATAGTGCTACCACGGCAACCCCTTTAGTTGTTTATGATCTTGTCAATGCTGCCGACACTAAAGTTAAATGTGCTGCTTTGTTTGTGGACCTGTCAAAAAGCTTTTGATACTGTTGATCATGCTATGGAAGTGCATAAAGGTGTACCACAGGGGTCTGCAGTCAGATTCTATAGCAGGAATCCCTTGTTGATTTAAAACTAGTGCTTAATATGGGCAAAACGAAATACAATGTTTCAGATGAACTACATGTTCACTCATTAGATGGTTCTCCAATTGAACATGTTCCCGCATATAAATACTTGTGCATTTCGACTGATATGGATTTGACGTTTAAAAAACATACAGTGGGGAAAAAAATTATTTAGTCAGCCACCAATTGTGCAAGTTCTCCCACTTAAAAAGATGAGAGAGGCCTGTAATTTTCATCATAGGTACACGTCAACTATGACAGACAAATTGAGAAAAAATAATGCAGAAAATCACTTTGTAGGATTTGTAATGAATTTATTTGCAAATTATGGTGGAAAATAAGTATTTGGTCACCTACAAACAAGCAAGATTTCTGGCTCTCACAGACCTGTAACTTCTTCTTTAAGAGGCTCCTCTGTCCTCCACTCGTTACCTGTATTAATGGCACCTGTTTGAACTTGTTATCAGTATAAAAGACACCTGTCCACAACCTCAAACAGTCACACTCCAAACTCCACTATGGCCAAGACCAAAGAGCTGTCAAAGGACACCAGAAACAAAATTGTAGACCTGCATCAGGCTGGGAAGACTGAATCTGCAATAGGTAAGCAGCTTGGTTTGAAGAAATAAACTGTGGGAGCAATTATTAGGAAATGGAAGACATACAAGACCACTGATAATCTCCCTCGATCTGGGGCTCCACGCAAGATCTCACCCCGTGGGGTCAAAATGATCACAAGAACGGTGAGCAAAAATCCCAGAACCACACGGGGGGACCTAGTGAATGACCTGCAGAGAGCTGGGACCAAAGTAACAAAGCCTACCATCAGTTACACACTACGCCGCCAGGGACTCAAATCCTGCAGGGCCAGACGTGTCCCCCTGCTTAAGCCAGTACATGTCCAGGCCCGTCTGAAGTTTGCTAGAGTGCATTTGGATGATCCAGAAGAGGATTGGGAGAATGTCATATGGTCAGATGAAACCAAAATAGAGCTTTTTGGTAAAAACTCAACTCGTCGTGTTTGGAGGACAAAGAAATCTGAGTTGCATCCAAAGAACACCATACCTACTGTGAAGCATGGGGGTGGAAACATCATGCTTTGGGGCTGTTTTTCTGCAAAGGGACAAGGACGACTGATCCGTGTAAAGGAAAGAATGAATGGGGCCATGTATCGTCAATTTGTCTGTCATAGTTGACGTGTACCTATGATGAAAATTACAGGCCTCTCTCATCATTTTAAGTGGGAGAACTTGCACAATTGGTGGCTGACTAAATACTTTTTTTCCCCACTGTACAATACAATGGGAATGGGCAGAAAAAGTTCATGTTGATCCATGGAGGCAAAAAGGAGTTTAATTCAATAAGAGAAAAGCTGTGAGAGCTGAAAGTAAAGAGAAGGGAAAAGTAATGTTTGGGAAAAATTTGATAAAGTGGTAAAAGATGATGATAGCATGTTATGTGTGAGACTCTAAATAGGCCCATATTAGCTCCTGCAGTAAAATGATACAACAAATGTAGGCAACATTTTGACTCGGGAACAGAAGTGGAGAAATAGGATTTATTTCAGCATCTTGAGAGAATACAAATGCGCAGTTAGATACCGTCTGTAGAGGTGCCATCTTTATTAACATCATAAAAGCTGATCGTTTTTCAACCACATAAAATATGCATCCAAGCCAAACTGAAATCTTATCAGCAACATGTTTCCACAGCATTCTATTTCCTTCCAACTGGTCAAACTGATGTCATTTGGACATTTTGCACAGAAAATCTTTCATATTTTTAGAGTCATTGCATTTTCCCTAAACGTCATTGCTCCGTGAAAGAAGCAGAGGTCACAGAACTTTACTGATGTCAACTGAACTAAAATATAAACACAACATTAAAGTGTTGGTCCCATGTTTCATGAGGTGAAATAAAAGCTCCCAAAAATGTTTAGAATGAGAATGAATCAGAATGAGTTTTTCCCCACAAAAGGGCTTTATTACAGACAGAAATACTCCTCAGTTTCATCAGCTGTCCAGGTGGCTGGTCTCAGACGATCCCGCAGGTGAAGAAGCTGGATGTGGAGGTCCTGGGCTGGCGTGGTTACACGTGGTCTGCGGTTGTGAGGCCGGATAGACGTACTGCCAAATTGTCTAAGACGACGTTGGAGGAAGTTTATGGTAGAGAAATGAACATTACATTCTCTGGCAACAGCTCTGGTGGACATTCCTGCAGTCAGCATGCCAATTGCACGCTCCCTCAAAACTTGAGACATCTGTGGAATTGTGTTGTGTGTCAAAACTGCACATTTTAGAGTGGCCTTTTATTGTTCCCAGCACAAGGTGCACCTGTGTAATGATCATGCTGTTTAATCAGCTTCTTGAAATGCCACGCCTGTCAGGTGGAAGGATTATCTTGGTAAACGAGAAATGCTCACTAACAGGGATGTAAACAAATTTGTGCACAACATTTGAGAGAAATACGCTTTTTGTGCGTATGGAACATTTCTGGGATCTTTTATTTCAGCTTATGAAACATGGGACCAACACTTTACATGTTGCATTTATATTTTTGTTCAGTATAATTATAGACATGTTGACTAACAAATAGCCTACCACAATGTTGAAAATTATAAGCAGAAACATATTTAAATCAGGTAACAACAAAAAATCGTTCCGCCGTCTCTGACTGTAGCATACAGCACATTTTCTACATTAGCGGGTTAGGGTCGGGTTCTGGCCTCAGATTTTCACTTTATCACATATAGTCGGGCCGGTTGCGGATGGGTTATTAGCAATTGCGAGCCGGTGCGGATGAACAAACAGCTGACCCACTACAGTGGTACTGGTAAAGCCTTAAGTCACCCGTTTGCTCAGCTAGGCGAATGTGAACGTCTGTGCTCGCATACTCCCCAAAATACCTTTGCTTGAAAAATGAGAAAAAATAATACTGTTGTTTGTGCTTCTTTAGACAGCAACTACATACCCAGTAACACTTCCTCAAAATAGTCTGAATTAATACAAAATAAATCTAGAAATCTATAATTAATTTAGAAGTTTTGGCCTAAGAGTTCTTATTTTACGTCTGGCTAATATGTTAGGTGCAGTATTTCTCAAGTGAAAACTGCTGTGCAGGACTGATTTCTGACAGATTCAGGTTGAATGAAGTAGAAACTAGCGTACTTACATTTTTACATACATTTACATTTACATTTACATTTTAGTCATTTAGCAGACGCTCTTATCCAGAGCGACTTACAGTTAGTGAATACATATTTTTTTTATACTGGCCCCCCAAAACAAACACTTAATCCCTAAACTCTTAGAATTAGTGGTGCCTCAAGGAACCATTGCTAAATCAATGGTTCATATTTGCACCTTCGGTTAGCTGAGGGGTTCTTGGAGGAACCTTAAATGGTTCAATGTAGCAACGGGTTCCTGGAGGATTGTAGCTTTAATATCTTTTTTATTTGAGCAAATGTCTTTCCTGTTAATCTGTTCTGTTGTATTGTCATCACATTTTAAGTTTGCACACTGACAGTTTTGTAGCTTCAATGAGGCTTACAGAGGTACATGAGTTCCTCAAGAACCAATCCCAAAGTTAGAATAGTTAACACTTTATTACTATTTATTATTATTATTATTATTTATTACTATATGTCATGTGAATATTATTAATTTTATATTTCAATATGTAATATGCTAAAATATTGAAGGATGTTTTGTTTGCTGTGATGAATAGGAATGACATTTAGGCTAACGGGTGGCCAAAAATAACTATCTGAAAGCCACACCTCCAATAAGCCACACCTCCAATCTGATAGGCTGCCAGCTCTATAATATATTATTAAAAAGGTTTAAAAAAAGTTCAGGTTTGAACCTTTACACAGGGGTTCCTCGAATACCCTTTTTAGAGGGGTTCCTCAAGGAACCTTTTTAAACTAGAAAGGTTCCACCGGTGTGGAACCCAAAACGGTCTTCCAGTCACCTTCACTTCTAAGAGCGTATTGTTGACCAATCACCAACGAAGGGGTGTAGACTTCGGCTACCAAAGTTCAACATGCCTCAATAAATGTTTTTGTGTGAGAACAGGCAAAGAAAACAACTAATGAACCCCCAAACTAACACAAAGTGGCCACGTTTCAACTGGGAAGCAGGTGACAGTCTTTTTCCATTCCTACTACAGCACAATACCCACAATACACCACTCACACCCATACTGGGAGTAAACAAACACACATCTATCATTACCATCAACACCATCATCACCACTATCACCAACACCACACCATCATCACCACCATCACACCATCATCACCACTATCACCACCACACCACATCAACCACTATCACCCCACCACCACACACCACACCACTATCATCCGACCCCCATCCCCACACAAACCGCTATCATGCACCCCCAAACAAAAAAAAAAAACCCCACCTTAAAAACCAAACACCACCACAAACAACCACCCCCACATCACACCACCAATCAAACCCATCACCACAACACCCCCCCCACACATCATCACCCCCAAAAACACATCACCCCCCACCCAAAACCCACCATACACCATCACACATATCAACCCTCACCATCACCCCCACCACCACCATCATACCACAAACAAACCCCAAACATCATAAACACACCCCCATAAACACCACCACATTAAATCCCCATATCACCAAAAAACCCCTCACACACTTACCCCCACCACCATCAAAAATCATCACCATACACTATCACACCACATCACCACCACCCCAACACCACCACATCACCACACATCCACCACACACACACCACCATCACCACCACATCACACAACCACACCATCACCTATCATTCACCACCACACACCATCCAACCCCAAACCATCAGTACATTCACCATCACTATCATCACCACTATCACCACCATCATCACCACGATCATCATCAGACCTGAATTTGTCCTCAAACATACAGGCACACAACACAAGCATAGTAGCATGGTGTCTATCAAAGTCTGGACACACCTACTCATTAGGACACACCTCCACCTACTCATTAGGACACACCTCCACCTACTCATTAGGACACGCCTCCACCTACTCATTAGGACACGCCTCCACCTACTCATTAGGACACACCTCCACCTACTCATTAGGACACGCCTCCACCTACTCATTAGGACACACCTCCACCTACTCATTAGGACACACCTCCACCTACTCATTAGGACACGCCTCCACCTACTCATTCAAGGGTTTTTCTTAATTTTTACTATTTTCTACATTGTAGAATAATAGTGAAGACATCAAAACTATGAAATAACACATATGGAATCATTTAGTAACCAAAAAAGTGTTAAACAAATCAAAATATATTTTATATTTGAGATTCTTCAAATAGCCACCCTTTGCCTTGATGACAGCTTTGCACACTCTTGCAGCAATCATCCCGACTCATCCCAACCCACCCCGACTCATCCCAACCCACCCCGACTCATCCCAACCCACCCCGACTCATCCCAACCCACCCCGACTCATCCCAACCCATCCCGACTCATCCCAAACCATCTCAATTGGGTTGAGGTTGGGTGATTGTGGAGGCCAGGTCATCTGATGCAGCACTCCATCACTCTCCTTCTTGGTAAAATAGCCCTTACACAGCCTGGAGGTGTGTTGGGTCATTGTCCTGTTGAAAAACAAATGATAGTCCCACTAAGTCCAAACCAGATGGGATGGCGTATCGCTGCAGAATGCTGTGGTAGCCATGCTGGTTAAGTGTGCCTTGAATTCTAAATAAATCACAGACAAAGTCCCTATTGACAGACCTTCATTCTGACCTTTGGTCTTTTACCAAATAGGGCTATCTTCTGTATACCCCCCTATGTTGTCACAACACAACTGATTGGCTCAAACGCATTAAGAAGGAAAGCAATTCCACAAATTAACTTTTAAAGAAGGCACACCTGTTAATTGAAATGGATTCCAGGTGACTACCACATGAAGCTGGTTGAGCGAATGCCAAGAGTGTGCAAAGCTGTCATCAAGGCAAAGAGTGGCTATTTGAAGAAAGTGTTTAACACTTTTTTGGTTTCTACATGATTCCATATGTGTTATTTCATAGTTTTGATGTCTTCACTATTATTCTACAATGTAGAAAAAAATTGATAAAATAAAGAAAAACCCTTGAATGAGTAGGTGTGTCCAAACCTTTGACTGGTACTGTATATATACACACAGTGCATTCGGAAAGTATTCAGACCCCTTCCCTTTTTGCACATTTTGCTACATTACAGCCTTATTCTAAACCTGATTTAATAGTTTTTTTACACACAATACCCCATAATGACAAAGGGAAAAACACCAGTCTCAACGTCAACAGTGAAGAGGCGACTCCGGGATGCTGACCTTCTAGGCAGAGTTGCAAAGAAAAAGCCATATCTCAGACTGCCCATCTTAATCTTTTCTTTTTATTGGCCAGTCTGAGATATGGCTTTTTCTTTGCAACTCTGCCTAGAAGGTCAGCATCCCGGAGTCGCCTCTTCACTGTTGACGTTGAGACTGGTGTTTTGCGGGTACTATTTAATGAAGCTGCCAGTTGAGGACCTGTGAGGCATCTGTTTCTCAAACTAGACACTCTAATGTATTTGTCCTCTTGCTCAGTTGTGCACCGGGGCCTCCCACTCCTCTTTCTATTCTGGTTAGAGCCAGTTTGCGCTGTTCTGTGAAGGGAGTGGTACACAGCGTTGTACGAGATCTTCATTTTCTTGTCAATTTCTCGCATGGAATAGCCTTCATTTCTCAGAACAAGAATAGACTGACGAGTTTCTGAAGAAAGTTATTTGTTTCTGGCCATTTTGAGCCTGTAATCGAACCCACAATTGCTGATACTCCAGATCCTCAACTAGTCTCAAGAAGGCCAGTTTTATTGCTTCTTTAATCAGCACAACAGTTTTCAGCTGTGCTAACATAAATGCAAAAGGATTTTCTAATGATCAATTAGCCTTTTAAAATGATAAACTTGGATTAGCAAACACAACGTGCCATTGGAACACAGGACTGATGGTTGCTGATAATGGGCCTCTGTACGCATATGTAGATATTCCATTTTAAAAAATCAGCCGTTTCCAGCTACAATAGCCATTTACAACATTAACAATGTCTACACTGTATTTCTGATCAATTTGATGTTATTTTAATGGACAAAAAAATTGTTTTTCTTTCGAAAACAAGGATATTTCTAAGTGACCCCAAACTTTTGAACAGTTGAAGTCGGAAGTTTACATACACTTAGGTTGGAGTCATACAAACTTGTTTTTCAACCACTCCACAAATTTCTTGTTAACAAACTACAGTTTTGGCAAGTCGGTTAGGACATCTACTTTGTGCATGACACAACTAATTTTTCCAACAATTGTTTACAGACAGATTATTTCACTTATAATTTACTGTATCACAATTCCAGTGGGTCAGAAGTTTACATACACTAAGTTGACTGTGCCTTTAAACAGCTTGGAAAATTCCAGAAAATGATGTCATGGCTTTAGAAGCTTATGATAGGCTAATTGACATAATTTGAGTCAATTGGAGGTGTACCTGTGGATGTATTTCAAGGCCTACCTTCAAACTCAGTGCCTATTTGCTTGACATCATGGGAAAATCAAAAGAAATCAGCCAAGACCTCAGAAAAAAATTTGTAGACCTCCACAAGTCTGGTTTATCCTTGGGAGCAATTTCCAAACACCTGAAGGTACCACATTCATCTGTACAAACAATAGTATGCAAGTATAAACACCATGGGACCACGCAGCCATCATACCGCTCAGGAAGGAGACGTGTTCTGTCTCCTAGAGATGAACGTACTTTGGTGTGAAAAGTGCAAATCAATCCCAGAACAACAGCAAAGGACCTTGTGAAGATGCTGGAGGAAACAGGTACAAAAGTATCTATATCCACAGTAAAACGAGTCCTATATCGACATAACCTGAAAGGCCGCTCAGCAAGGAAGAAGCCACTGCTCCAAAACTGCCATAAAAAAGCCAGACTACGGTTTGCAACTGCACATGGGGACAAAGATCGTACTTTTTGGGGAAATGTCCTCAGGTCTGATGAAACAAAAATATAACTGTTTGGCCTTAATGACCATCGTTATGTTTGGAGAAAAAAGGAGGTTACTTGCAAGCCGAAGAACACCATCCCAACCGTGAAGCACGGGGGTGGCAGCATCATGCTGTGGGGGTGCTTTGCTGCAGGAGGGACTGGTGCACTTCACAAAATAGATGGCATCATGAGGAAGGAAAATTATGTTGATATATTGAAGCAACATCTCAAGACATCAGTCAGGAAGTTAAAGCTTGGTCGCAAATGGGTCTTCCAAATGGACAATGACCCCAAGCATACTTCCAAAGTTGTGGCAAAATGGCTTAAGGACAACAAAGTGAAGGTATTGGAGTGGCCATCACAAAGCCCTGACCTCAATCCTATAGAAAATGTGTGGGCAGAACTGAAAAAGCGTGTGCGAGCAAGGAGGCCTTCAAACCTGACTCAGTTACACCAGCTCTGTCAGGAGGAATGGGCCAAAATTCACCCAACTTATTGTGGGAAGCTTGTGGAAGGCTACCCGAAACGTTTGACACAAGTTAAACAATTTAAAGGCAATGCTACCAAATACTAATTGAGTGTATGTAAACTTCTGACCCACTGGGAATGTGATGAAATAAATAAAAGCTGAAATAAATCATTCTCTCTACTATTATTCTGACATTTCACATTCTTAAAATAAAGTGGTGATCCTAACTGACCTAAGACAGGGAATCTTTACTAGGATTAAATGTCAGGAATTGTGAAAAACTGAATTTAAATGTATTTGGCTAAGGTTTATGTAAACATCCGACTTCAACTGTATCTTTAAATCATCAGTTTACAAATCTGAACATATCTTTATTACGCAACTATTCTACAGGAGAGGGAGGGGCTAAAGGTCAGGGGTCTTCCTGTGATGTCATGGAATGTCATGGTCCCAGCTAGCTAAGGTGTGTGTGTGTGACTCCATTCTCTGAGCGTCTGTAGGGCCTTTTCACACAAACATCTCCTTCTTCCCATGTGTCGGGGGCCTCTGAGTGTGTGTGGAGCCGGGCATGGAAGAGCGTGTGTGTGGGGGCCCGGGGAGAGGAGTGTGTGTGGAGCCAGGCATGGAAGAGCGTGTGTGTGGGGGCCCAGGGAGAGGAGTGTGTGTGGAGCCAGGCATTGGAAGAGCGTGTGTGTGGGGGCCCGGGGAGAGGAGTGTGTGTGGAGCCGGGCATGGAAGAGCGTGTGTGTGGGGGCCCGGGGAGAGGAGTGTGTGTGGAGCCGGGCATGGAAGAGCGTGTGTGTGGGGGCCCGGGGAGAGGAGTGTGTGTGGAGCCGGGCATGGAAGAGCGTGTGTGGTGGGGGCCCGGGGAGAGGAGTTGTGTGTGGAGCCGGGCATGGAAGAGCGGTGTGTGTGGGGGCCCGGGGAGAGGAGGTGTGTGTGGAGCCGGGCATGGGAGAGCGTGTGTGTGGGGGCCCGGGGAGGAGGTGTGTGTGGAGCCGGGCATGGAAGAGCGTGTGTGTGGGGGCCCGGGGAGAGGAGTGGTGTGTGGAGCCGGGATGGAGAGAGCTTGTGTGTGGGGGCCCGGGGAGAGGAGTGTGTGTGTGGAGACCGGGCATGGAAGAGTGTGTTGTGGGGGCACGGGGAGAGGAGTGTGTGTGGAGCCGGGCATGGAAGAGCGTGTTTGGGGGGGAGGGAGAGGAGTGTGTGTGGAGCCGGGCATGGAAAGAGCGTGTGTGTGGGGGCCCGGGGAGAGGAGTGTGTGTGGAGCCGGGCATGGAAGAGCGTGTGTGTGGGGGCCCGGGGAGAGGAGTGTGTGTGGAGCCGGGCATGGAAGAGCGTGTGTGTGGGGGCCCGGGGAGAGGAGTGTGTGTGTTGGAGTGTGTATGTGTTGGTCCAGACTCGGCAGGTGCATGCTGATTCTGGCAGCCCGGGCCAGGTAGCGGTGTGTGTGTGTGTGTGTGTGGGTCGGGGTCATCCAGGTGTGTATGTGTGTCGGGGTCATCCAGGTGTGTGTGTGGGTCGGGGTCATCCAGGTGTGTGTGTGGGTCTGGGTCAGGGTCATCCAGGTGTGTGTGTGGGTCGGGGTTGGGGTCATCCAGGTGTGTGTGTGGGTCGGGGTCATTCAGGTGTGTGTGTGGGTCGGGGTTGGGGTCATCCAGGTGTGTGTGTGGGTCGGGGTTATCCAGGTGTGTGTGTGGGTCGGGGTCATCCAGGTGTGTCTGTGGGTCGGGGTTGGGGTCATCAAGGTGTGTGTGTGGGTCGGGGTCATTCAGGTGTGTGTGTGGGTCGGGGTCATCCAGGTGTGTGTGTGGGTCGGGGTCGGGGTCATCCAGGTGTGTGTGTGGGTCGGGGTTATCCAGGTGTGTCTGTGGGTCGGGGTCATCCAGGTGTGTGTGTGGGTCGGGGTCATCCAGGTGTGTGTGTGGGTCGGGGTCATCCAGGTGTGTGTGTGGGTCGGGGTCATCCAGGTGTGTGTGTGGGTCGGGGTCATCCAGGATTGTGTCAGGCGTCCCTGCAGGGCTGAGCAGAGCATCGTAGTCGAAGCCTCCAAGCGGCTGTAGAGAGAGGGTCAGTCCTCGTCGGGCCTTGGCCGGCCGGTCAGGACGCTCCCGCAGCGCCAAGATTACCTCCACAGGTCGTCGCTGTAGCAACGCCAGGTCAAAGGTCGCGCCGTGGAAAAAGGTCTGCCGTTTGAAACGCTCCAGGGTCCGCAGCCGCCGCGTCGGTGTCTTACACAGCAGCTGTCAATCAATCAATTAATCAATAATTCAATCAATCACATTTATTTCTAAAGCCCTTCTAACCACAATGTGTATGTCTCATGGACTTAGATAGACAACTCTAGTGCCCCATTTGAGAATGGGCAGCGCCACTGAGGAATGTCACCATTTTTAAGTAGTCAACTGGGTTGGACTTCCTGTGGGTGAAGGTTGGATCACATGATTCCATCCAGGTCATCAGGAGGGATCAGCCAATGAGGTGGCAGTTTGTTTACCAACTCATAGAAGTACTGACTACTTCCTAATGGAGATGGCCTCAATGGCGCTGCCAGTGCTGGGACAGATATAATGGGACAGATATAATGGAGATGGGACAGATATAATGGGACAGATATAATGGAGATGGGACAGATAGAATGGAGATGGGACAGATAGAATGGAGATGGGACAGATAGAATGGAGATGGGACAGATATAATGGAGATGGGACAGATATAATGGAGATGGGACAGATATAATGGAGATGGGACAGATATAATGGAGATGGGACAGATATAATGGAGATGGGACAGATATAATGGAGAAGGGACAGATATAATGGAGATGGACAGATATAATGGAGATGGGACAGATATAATGGAGAGTTGGGACAGATATAATGGAGATGGGACAGATATAATGGGACAGATATAATGGAGATGGGACATATATAATGGAGATGGGACAGATATAATGGAGATGGGACAGATATAATGGGACAGATATAATGGAGATGGGACAGATATAATGGGACAGATATAATGGAGATGGGACAGATATAATGGAGATGGGACAGATATAATGGAGATGGGACAGATATAATGGAGATGGGACAGATATAATGGGACAGATATAATGGAGATGGGACAGATATAATGGAGATGGGACAGATATAATGGAGATGGGACAGATATAATGGGACAGATATAATGGAGATGGGACAGATATAATGGGACAGATATAATGGAGATGGGACAGATATAATGGAGATGGGACAGATATAATGGAGATGGGACAGATATAATGGGACAGATATAATGGGACAGATATAATGGGACAGATACAAAGATGAGAAGTGTAACTAAGTGTACGTGCGTACCTTCGTGTGTGTGTGTGTGTGTGTGTGCCTTCGTGTGTGTGTGTGTGTGTGTGTGTGTGTGTGTGTGTGTGTGTGTGTGCCTTCGTGTGTGTGTGTGTGTGTGTGTGTGTGTGTGTGTCTGTGTGTGTGTGTGTGTGTGTGTGTGTGTGTGTGTGTGTGTCTGTGTGTGTGTGTGTGTATACCTCAGTGATGAGAAGAGCCAGTGGAGGGCTGAAGCTGAGGGGGATGTCGTAGGGGAAACACCTCACTCTCCTCAACATACTGTAGTGGTCTGGTTCAGGCAGGACTGGGAACTAGACGGTGGGAGACAGAGATATATATATATACAGTGGGGAGAACAAGTATTTGATACACTGCCGATTTTGCAGGTTTTCCTACTTACAAAGCATGTAGAGGTCTGTAATTGTTATCATAGGTACATTTCAACTGTGAGAGACGGAATCTAAAACAAAAATCCAGAAAATCACATTGTATGATTTTTAAGTAATGAATTTGCATTTTATTGCATGACATAAGTATTTGATCACCTACCAACCAGTAAGAATTCCGGCTCTCACAGACCTGTTAGTTTTTCTTTAAGAAGCCCTCCTGTTCTCCACTCATTACCTGTATTAACTGCACCTGTTTGAACTCGTTACCTGTATAAAAGACACCTGTCCACACACTCAATCAAACAGACTCCAACCTCTCCACAATGGCCAAGACCAGAGAGCTGTGTAAGGACATCAGGGATAAAATTGTAGACCTGCACAAGGCTGGGATGGGCTACAGGACAATAGGCAAGCAGCTTGGTGAGAAGGCAACAACTGTTGGCACAATTATTAGAAAATGGAAGAAGTTCAAGATGACGGTCAATCACCCTCGGTCTGGGGCTCCATGCAAGATCTCACCTCGTGGGGCATCAATGATCATGAGGAAGGTGAGGGATCAGCCCAGAACTACACGGCAGGACCTGGTCAATGACCTGAAGAGAGCTGGGACCACAGTCTCAAAGAAAACCATTAGTAACACACTACGCCGTCATGGATTAAAATCCTGCAGCGCACGCAAGGTCCCCCTGCTCAAGCCAGCGCATGTCCAGGCCCGTCTGAAGTTTGCCAATGACCATCTGGATGATCCAGAGGAGGAATGGGAGAAGGTCATGTGGTCTGATGAGACAAAAATAGAGCATTTCGGTCTAAACTCCACTCGCCGTGTTTGGAGGAAGAAGAAGGATGAGTACAACCCCAAGAACACCATCCCAACCGTGACGCATGGAGGTGGAAACATCATTCTTTGGGGATGATTTTCTGCAAAGGGGACAGGACGACTGCACCGTATTGAGGGGAGGATGGATGGGGCCATGTATCGCGAGATCTTGGCCAACAACCTCCTTCCCTCAGTAAGAGCATTGAAGATTGGTCGTGGCTGGGTCTTCCAGCATGACAACGACCCGAAACACACAGCCAGGGCAACTAAGGAGTGGCTCCGTAAGAAGCATCTCAAGGTCCTGGAGTGGCCTAGCCAGTCTCCAGACCTGAACCCATAGAAAATCTTTGGAGGGAGCTGAAAGTCCGAATTGCCCAGCGACAGTCCCGAAACCTGAAGGATCTGGAGAAGGTCTGTATGGAGGAGTGGGCCAAAATCCCTGCTGCAGTGTGTGCAAACCTGGTCAAGACCTACAGGAAACGTATGATCTCTGTAATTGCAAACAAAGGTTTCTCTACCAAATATTAAGTTCTGCTTTTCTGATGTATCAAATACTTATGCCATGCAATAAAATGCAAATTAATTACGTAAAAATCATACAATGTGATTTTCTGGATTTTTGTTTTAGATTCCGTCTCTCACAGTTGAAATGTACCTATGATAAAAATTACAGACCTCTACATGCTTTGTAAGTAGGAAAACCTGCAAAATCGGCAGTGTATCAAATACTTGTTTTCCCCACTGTATATGTGCGTGTGTGTATGAATGTGATTTTCTGGAAAAACATTTCTCATTTTGTCTGTCATAGTTGACGTGTACCTATGATGAAAATGACAGGCCTCTCTCATCTTTTTAAGTGGGAGAACTTGCACAATTGGTGGCTGACTAAATACTTTTTTTCCCCATTGTATGTATATATATAGAGAGAGATGAGAGGAAAGGGGGTGTGACACACAAACCATCTGTCTTTCCCTCAATGTGTCTAAAAACACGGAGTTTTGTTGGTTTTTATTACTATAAACATTTGTTTTTATATAAACTGTAAATAATCAAGACCCCAGGCACTGCCACACATTTATTAACACATAATGCCAGTCAGTGTAGTGACTCACCTTCCCAGTGACCAATGAGAAGAGGAGGATTCCCAGCGACCACCAATCAGCTGCGTGGCTATAGGGTCCCCCACTCAGAACCTCAGGGGCTGGAGAGACACACACAGCAGAGCATGTCTGTCACACACTGTATATCTCACTGGTCTGGCACACACTGTATATCTCACTGGTCTGGCACACACTGTATATCTCACTGGTCTGTCACACACTGTTAATATATCACTGGTCGGGCCACACTTATATCTCCGGGTCGGGCACACCTGTATTTTATTCCCCCCTTTCCGCGGGTTGGGTTTTTTTTGTGTTTTTTTTTTGGTTTTAAACTGTGTGTGTTGTGTGTGTGTGGGGTGTTTTTTTAGACTGTGTGGTGTGGTGTGTGTAACTTGGGGGTGTGTGTGGTGTGGGTGGTTTTGGGGTGTTTGGTGTGTGTGTGTGTTGGGGTTGTTTTTGTGGGTGTTTGTGTGTGTGTGTGTGGTGTTGTGTTTTGTGTGGGGTTGTGTTGTTGTTTTGTTGTTCGTGTGTTGTGTGTTTGTGATTGTTTTTTTGGTGGTGTGGGGGTTGTTTTTTTGTTGGGGGTAACTGGGTGGGGTTTGGGGGGGGGTTTGGTGTGTGGGTTTGGGGTTTGTTGTTGTAGCGTTTGTTTTTTTTTGTGTTTTGTGGTTTGGGTGGTTGTGTTTTTTACTTGTTGTGTGTGTTTTTGTGCTTTTTTTTTTTGTTTTTTGTGTTTTGTTTTTTTTTTGGTTGTGGGCTGTGTTTTTTGTTGTTGTGTTTTTTTTTTTTGGGGGGTTTTTTTGGTGTTTTTTTTTTTTTTGTTGTGTTGGGTTGGTGTGTTTTTTGGGTGGTTTGTGGTTTTGTTTTTGTGTGGTTTGTGTTTTGGTGGTGGGGGTTTGGGGGTGTTGTTTGTGGGTTGGGTTTTGTGGTGGGTGGTTGTGTGTGTGGTGTGTGGTCTACCCATGAAACGGAGGTTTTCCCAGTAGTAAAGGCTTTTCCTCCTCTCTCCGCGACGGGACAAACCAAAAATTCCCGACGGAGGTGGCCTGGAATAAACCTTTTTTTTTATTTTATCAGTACGGGAAAAAAACATTATTACTGTTACAGACTGGAAAAAAACCTTTTACTTTTCTCAGTACGGGAATAAACCATTATTACTGTTATCAGCACTGGAATAAACCATTATTACGTTTCATACTGGAAAAAACCATTTTTCTGTTATCATATGGAATAAACTTATTATTTTTTCTCTTACGGGAAAAAACCATTATTACTGTTTAGTACGGAATAAACATTATTACTGTTCTCAGTACTGGAATAAACCATTATTACTGTTATCAGCACTGGAATAAACCATTATTACTGTTATCAGTACTGGAATAAACCATTATTACTGTTATCAGTACTGGAATAAACCTTATTACTTTTTTCAGTACTGGAAAAAAACCATTATTACGTTACAGTACGGGAATAACCAGTTTTTACTGTTTCATCGGAAATAAACCATTTTACTGTTATCTACGGAATCTTTTACTTTTCCGTATTTAATAAACCATTTTACTGTTTCATACTGGAAAAAACTTATTCGTTCTCAGTACTAATAAACCATTATTACTTTTTATCAAGGGGAATCTTTATTATTTTTTCTCATACTGGAAAAAACCCCTTTTACTGTTATCAGCACGGGAAAAAAACCATTTTTCTTTATCATCGGAAAAAAACCATTATTACTGTTATCAGTACTGGAATAAACATTATTACTGTTATCAGTACTGGAATAAACCATTATTACTGTTATCAGTACTGGAATAAACATTATTACTGTTATCAGTACTGGAAAAAAAACCATTATTCTGTTTCACACTGAATAAACCTTTTTACTTTTTTATCATATAAAAAACCATTATTTTTTATCATAGGGAATAAACATTTTACGTTCTCATACGGAAATAACCATTTTTTACTGTTATCAGTACTGGAATAACTTATTATTTTTTTCTCAGTAGGGGAAAACCTTATTACTTTTTCCCAGCACTAAAATAAACCATTATTCTGTTTTTCAGTACGGGAAATAAACCATTTTTCTGTTACATACTAAAAAAAAAAACCATTATACTTTTTACATCTGAATAACCATTTTACGGTTATCGTACTGGAAAAAACCGTATTACTGTTATCGTAGGGGAATAAACCTTTATTACTGTTTCAGTACGGGAATAAACCATTTTTTACTGTTTCAGTACGGGAATAAACTTTGTTATTATCATTTTTTGTCACATCACTACTTTTCCCCCTAACTACTGCCTACCCCAGGGACATCTCTATTTCCACATCGGGACCGGGGAGCCGCTTATAATGGACCTGGGACACACTTAAATGGACCGGGGAGCACAGCTTTTTGGGGACCGGGAGCACAGCATTATAATGGCCCGGGACCCAAAACATTAAAATGGACCTGGGAGCACAGCTTATAATGGCCGGGAGCACAGCTTTATAATGGCCGGGAGCAAGCATTATAAGGGCCTGGAGCCACATTAATGGACCTGGGAGCACGCTTTACATGGACCTGGGACACAGCTTTAATGGACCTGGGCACAGCATTCAATGGACCTGGGCACACTTTACAAGGCCTGGGAGCACAGCATTAAATGGGCCCTTTGGGGAAAACACATTATATGGACCGGGACCACTTTACAATGGCCTGGGAGCCCTTTAAATGGACCGGGGAGCAAAAAGCTTTAAAATGGCCCGGGAGCACAGCAAATGGACCGGGGAGCACAGAAACAATGGCCCGGGGACACAGCATTTAATGGCCCTTTGGGCACAGTTAAAATGGACCTGGGGCCAGCATTCAATCCCCTGGGAGCCACATTTAAAATGGCCTGGAGCAAGCATTTAATGGACCGGGGGAGCACGCATTATATGCCTGGGAGCACAGCATTATAATGGCCGGGGACCAGCATTATAATGGACCTGGGAGCACAGCATTAAGGGACCGGGGAGCACAGCATTACAGGGCCCTGGGACACAGCATTACAATGGACCTGGGAGCCAGCATTAAAAAGGGCCGGGAGCCGCTTCATGGCCGGGAGAAAAACAGCATTATAATGGCCTGGGACACAGCATTAAAGGGCCCTGGGGCACAGCATTATATGGACCTGGAGCACAGCTTTTACAATGGACCGGGGACACAGCATTAATGGACCTGGAGCACAGCATTACAATGTGACTGTTCCAATGCAGGGACCTGGGAGCACAGCATTACAATGGACCTGGGAGCACAGCATTATAATTGGACCTGGGAGCACAGCATTATAATGGACCTGGGAGCACAGCATTATAATGGACCTGGGAGCACAGCATTATAATGGACCTGGGAGCACAGCATTATAATGGACCTGGGAGCACAGCATTATAATGGACCTGGGAGCACAGCATTATAATGGACCTGGGAGCACAGCATTACAATGTGACTGACAGCTGTGTTCCAGAACATTGTGTTCTACAATTTTGTTCTAATCTAGAATGTCTCATGTTGCCATACTTCCAAAATCACATCGTTATCACGCCTCCCTTGGAGGTCTGGAGAATTTTGTATTGCAAAAACGTTTTGAATGGTCCGCTGGGGGGGATGTTACATTTCAAGAACCCTCCCCTAGAAGGGCTGATGTGTTATGTGTCTCCGTCCAGGTAGTGGTTGTTGCCTATGCTAGTTTCAAGTGTGGCCGACAGTGTGCGATTTATATTTCTTGAAATTAAAAGTGCATTACGTTTGTAAAGTCAAACGTCACATGAAGTTCTAAACCGCTCTGGTGACAAGATTTTTTTCCATGTCTCCATTCGTCCACATGGCTGCTGGCTGCGCTTTGCTTCCACCAAAAATATTGTGAAGATTTCCCATTATTTTGTTTTTGTAAGGACACAAAAAACGGAGGCAGTGGGAGAACCTATTCAAGTAAGTAAATACATGTTTAAAATATATATATATTTTTATTATTATTAGCTAGTTAACAAGCTGGCTACAGTAGGCTAACTCAACTGAGCTGCTAGCTAGATAGCGAACTTTACACACTGTTTAGCTAAGTGAATTTAAATGTCATCAGCTAGCTAACTTCCTATCAGCTAGCCATCTTGATGTAATCATTGTAAATTGCCATCTTGATGTAATCATTGTAAATTGCCATCTTGATGTAATCATTGTAAATTAAAAACAGTCTCCAAATGCATTTGGAGACAACAGCCATGGAAGAGGGTGAAATTGCAGCTCCAGCTGTCAGTAAAGGGAGAGTGCAGGCTACTGGACAGGGCAGGTCATTTTGTGGGAGGACATTATGAAAAGATTCCCCAGTTCCAGTCCCTAGAATGAAAGCTGACATGTCTTGAGTCAATAAGTATTCAACCCCTTTGTTATGGCCTAAAGAAGTTCAGGAGTAAACATTTGCTTAAAAAGGTGCACTTTGCAGAAATAGATCCGCCATTTCCCGGTTGCTAAAATTCTAATAGTTCGCCTAATTTCAGTTTATGTGACAAAACAAGCAAGTATAGTGTAGAGAATCATTGGACCATCTAAACTGCTGTGAAATATACAGTATTTTCCATAACCAAAAATATTGTATTTTCAGCTGTTTGAAGTTGGTGGACAAAACCGAAAGTAAAAGATGCAAAAAATGAAACTTAAGAACGGGAAGCATAGAAATAGCTCACATAGAACAGATCTACCACTTCTTAGACTGGCTTTCAATGAGAATCACAGATCTATAACTAACAGTTCTATTTGAATTGGGTCGGGTCGCCCAAAAAGATACATATTGCAGCTTTAACAAGTCACATAATAAGTTGCATGGACTCACTCTGTGTGCAACAATAGTATTTAACATGATTTTTGAATGACTACCTCATCTCTGTACCCCACACATACAATTATATATAAGGTCCCTCAGTTGAGCAGTGAATTTCAAACACAGAATCAACCACAAAGACCAGGGAGGTTTTCCAATGCCTCGCAAAGAAGGGCACCTATTGGTAGATGTGTTAAAAAACAAAGCAGACATTGAATATCCCTTTGAGCAAGGTGAAGTTATTAATTACACTTTGGATGGTGTATCAATACACACCCAGTCACTACAAAGATACAGGCGTCCTTCCTAACTTAGTTGCTGGAGAGGAAGGAAACTGCTCAGGGATTTCATCATGAGGCCAATGGTGACTTTAAAAAACGGTTTACAGAGTTTAATGGCTGTGATAGGAGAAAACTGAGGATGGGAGACGAACAACATTGTAGTTACTACCCACAATACCAACCCTAAATGACACAGGGGAAAGAAGGTAAGCCTGTACAGAATAAAAGTATTAAAAAAACATGCATCCGTTGGCAACAAGGCACGAAGTAAAACTGCAAAAAATTTGAGCAAATAAATTAAAACTTTATGTTCCTGAATAGAAGCGGTTATGTTTGGGGCAAATCCCAACACATTCGTGAGATTTCTTCTCACCTGTTCCACAGAGGGGTCATAGTTAGTGTGAGAGAGGGGGTCATATTAGTGTGAGAGAGGGGGTCCATATTAGTGTGAGAGAAGGGGTCATATAGTGTGGAGGAGGGGCCATATTAGTGTGAGAGAGGGTCTTATTGAGTGTGAGAGAGGGTGTCAATATTAGTGTTGAGAGAAGGGGTCCATATTAGTGTGAGAAGGGGTTCATATTAGTGTGAGAGAGTGGGTCATATTAGTGTGAAGAGAGGGGGTCTTATTATTGGTGGGAGAGAGGGGTATATTAGTGTGAGAGAGGCGGTCATATTAAGTGTGGAGAGGGGGTCATATTAGTGAGTCGAGAGAGGGGTCCATATTAGTGTGAGAGAGGGGTCATATTTAGTGTGAGAGAGGGGTCATATTAGTGTGAGAGAGGGGTCATATTAGTGTGAGAGAGGGGTCATATTATGTGAGAGAGGGGTCATATTAGTGTGAGAGAGGGGTCATATTAGTGTGAGAGAGGGGTCATATTAGTGTGAGAGAGGGGTCATATTAGTGTGAGAGAGGGGTCATATTAGTGTGAGAGAGGGGTCATATTAGTGTGAGAGAGGGGTCATATTAGTGTGAGAGAGGGGTCATATTAGTGTGAGAGAGGGTCATATTAGTGTGAGAGAGGGGTCATATTAG